AGTACTGGTATTAGCTCTTGTTTGAATTTCTGGTAGAATTTTGCAGTGAGCCATCTGGCCCTGCGTTTTTTTTTTGGTTGGGAGGCTTTTGATCCCATTTTCTATTTCATTAGGGGTTATAGGTTGATTTAAACTGCTTATCTGGTCTTGATTTAATTTTGGTAAGTGATATCTATCCAGAAAATTTTCGATTTCCTTTAGATTTTCGAATTTTTTGGAGTACAGGTCTTCACACTATGATCTGATGATTCTCTGGATTTACTCTGTGCCCATTGTTAGATCCCCCTTTTCATTTCTGATTTTGTTAATTAGTATGCTCTCTCTCTGCCTTTTCATTAGTTTAGATAGAGGATTGTCTATCTTGTTGATCTCAAAGTGCCAACTCTTTGTTTCATTGATTCTTTGTAATGTTTTCCTAGTTTCTACTTTATTGATTTCGGCCCTCAGGTTGATTATTTCCTGGCATCTACTCCTTCATGGTGAGTTTGCTTCTTTTTGCCCTAAAGCTTTCCACTTTATTGATTTTGACACACAGTTTGATTATTTCCTGGTGTCTACTCCTCCATTGTGAGTTTGCTTCTTTTTTTCTAAATCTTACAGTTGTTCTGTCAATTCTCTAGTGTGTCTGTTCTTCAGTTTCTTTATATGGGCACTTATTGCTATGAACTTTCCTCTTAGAACTGCTTTCAGAGTGTCCCAGAAGTTTGGGTATTTTGTGTCTACATACTCATTAAATTCTAGGAAGTGTTTAATTTCTTCCTCAACCCAGGAATCTTGCAATTGGTTGTTATTCAATTTCCATCAGTGTGTAGGTTTTCAGTAAATTGTATTGCTATTGAATTCTAAATTTGAAGCATCATGTTCTGATAAGATACATGTAGTTTTTTCATTTTTTTTGTATCTGTATAAGTTTGCTTTGTTGTCAACTATGTGGTCAATTGGATGGAATGTTCTATAGATATCAGTTAAACCCAGTTGGGTCATAACTTGTTAGAGATCCTTTGTTTCTTCATTAAGTTTCTGTCTGGTGGTCTTGTCTAGTGGTGTAAGGGGGGTGTTGAATTCTCCTAATATAAGGGTGTGTGGTTTTATGTGTGGTTTGAGCTTTAGTAATGTTTCTTTTACAAATGTGGGTGTCTTTCTCTTTGTGGCTTTTTCCTGTGATGAGTATGAAATGCCCTTCTTCATCTCTTTTGATTGATTTTTAGTTTGAAGTCTAATTTTTCAGATATTAGGATTGCTACACCAGCTTTTTATTGGGCCCATTTGATTGGAAAATCTTTTCCCAACCCTTTACTCTGAGGTAACACCTGTCTTTGAAGTTGAGGTGTGTTTCTTATATACAGCAGAAGGATGGATTCTGTCTTCGTTTCCATTCTGTTAGCC